CATTGTCTTCTTCCTCCCTGGTCAAGTGACCCAAGTTGATCTAGATGGACTACAATGGACAAAGTCACAAATGATTTCCTCCTTGGTAGTTTTTTGTTTTGTTTTAATTTAATTTTCCTGTCAAGGTAATATACAGGGGGTTTACAGTTACATACCTAAGGTAGTGAACAAATTTTTTGGCAAATGTTGTTACCCCTTCCCTTGTTTTTCTCCCATTTTCCCTCTCCTCCAATCCCCTTCCCCCAGGTTATAAAGTTCATTTCCAACATACTGTCTTGTGAGTATCACTGTTGCATTGGTTCAGCCTTTGTCCTTTGTCTCACCATTTTTTGTTCCCCTTCCTTCTTTTATTCAATGTATATAATACACACAGTACCACATAAATACACTGACAATAGGGATAAACCATGGGAGAAAAAAATGAAAGAAAAAAAGAAATAACTTCACTTAGTACATTAAAAACAACAAGAACAAAGTTGATAGTTTTAACAGATCATTTTTGAACCATTCATATTGTATATATTTTGCTTACAGTTTTTCTTAAAACTGTTCCTTGGCTTTCATCACATTGTCTTTTTATACTTCTTACATGTTCTTAATTGTTTCCATCTGTAATAACTGTTCTTTCTCCATTCACTTGTCAAATATGATGTTTCATAGAGTTCTTCTTTGATCCTCAGTCCTATTCACTACCTATACTCTCCCTGAGTGACAATAACTGTTTTCATACATTCAGAAACGACCTACATCCCAAGGACTTCTGACATGTACTGTGAGACTAGACCCTCTCCAATATCCCTAGATATTGGAGACTAGACCCTCTCCATGACATGTACTGTGAGACTAGACCCTCTCCAATATCCCTAGTGTATCTAATTTCTAGGTCAACATCTCTGCCTAGATTTTTTTTGGCTGCTTCATAGTTCATAAGATTGGAGATGAACCTTTTTTTTCTTTTAAAAAATAATTTTATTTTATTGTACAGGTAATGTACAGAGGGGTTATAGTTTCTTTCTTTCTTTTTTTATTGTGAAAATACCGTACAGAGGGGTTACAGTTTCATGGGCAAGATAATGAGTACATTTCTTATCAATCATTGTTGCCTCCTCTGTTTCCCTTTCCCATCCCTTCCCATCTCCCACACCCCCCAACCTGACAAAGGGGGAACCAATACAACAGCAATACTCACAAGACACTATATTGGAACTGAACTATACCTTGGTAATAAGTGTATTTCTTGTCAAACATTGTTACCCTATCCCTCATTTTCTCTTACTTTCCCTTCCCCAAACTCCCCCCTCCCCCGCAAATTGTAAAGTTCAGTCCCAACATAGTGTCTTGAGTATTGCTGTTTCATTGGTTCCCCCTTTGTCCTTTGGCTCACCATTTGTTATTCACCTTCTTCTCCCCAAATCAGACAGATGTGTCTACAAGACACAGGGTATCAAAATAAAAAACAAAAATCAGTGACAACAAGGGATAAACCAAAGGAAAAAAAAGAAAGAAAAAGAAATAACTTCATCCAGTACATAAAAAACAACAAAAGGAAAAAAAATCTCTTGTTTCCATATCTTGTAGTTCATTTCAATTAGCATAATTTTATATGTCATATATACATTACTATTGAGCTATTATGATCCTCTGCTAGGACTATCCTAGACATATACTAATTACAAATGAGGGAAACCATGGGGCCTATGTTTCTTTGGGTCTGGCTTATTTCACTTACTTAGAATCTCTCTTTTTTTAATTTTAATTTTTTGTGAACATACTGTACAGAGGGGTTACAATTACATGGACAAGATAATGAGTACATTTCTTATCAAGCATTGCAGCCTCCTCCTTTGTTTACCCTTCACATCCCTTCCCAGCCTCCCCCTGCCTCCCCACCCAATCCACCCCCTGCCCCCCCCACCAAAGTTGTAAAGTTCGTTTTTGTCATGACAACTTGTACTTCTCATAGTTGCATCGGGTCCACCTATATCCTTAAACGACTTGTTTTTCCCCATCTCCTCCACAAATTATACCAACATCAAATATAGTGAAAGCCGGGGTTATACTGTGGGGGAGGGACATACAAAGCTACAAAGAAATAATCTTATAAATGCGTTAGAAACAAATGCATGAAAGAAAAAAACATTTAAATACATATCTAAGGGTTCATTTTCCTGACATCACATTATCTGACCTTTCCTGCTTGACTCATACATATACTAGATATTACAAATAAGGGAAACCATGGGACCTATGTTTCTTTGGGCTTGGCTTACTTCACTTAATATAATTTTTTCCAAGCCTTTCCATTTCCTAACAAATGGGGCAATGTCATTCTTTCTGATGAAGGCATAGAATTCCATTGTGTATATATACCACATTTTCTTGATCCATTCATCTACTGAGGGGCATCTGGGTTGGTTCCATATCTTAGCTATGGTAAATAATGGTGCTATAAACATAGTTGTGCTGGTAGCTTTAGTGTGGTCTTGTTTGTAGACATTTGGGTAAATGCCCAAAAGTGGGATTGCTGGGTCATAGGGGAGCTCTATGTGAAGTCTTTTGAGGAACCTCCATACTGCTTTCCAAAGTGGTTGAACAAGTTTACACTCCCACCAACAATGAAGTAAGGTTCCTTTCTGTCCACATCCCCTCCAGCATCTGTTGTTGTTAGAGTTCTTGATTATAGCCATTCTAACTGGGGTGAGGTGGTATCTCAATGTTGTTTTGATTTGCATTTCTTTTATGGCTAGGGAGGTTGAACATTTCTTCATGTGTCTATTGGACATCCTTCTTTCTTCTTCAGAGAAGTTTCTCTTCAAGTCTTTAGCCCATTTATTTATTGGGCAGTTGTTTCTTTGAGGATTTGGTGTTGGGGATTTAATTTTTTGAGTTCCAAGTATATTTTAGATATGAGGCCCTTGTCTGTTGTATGGCTAGTGAAGATCTTCTCCCAATCTGTAGGCTTTCTATTGATCTTGCTAGCTATGTCCTTTTCCATGCAGAAGCTGTGCAACTTCATGCAATCCCATTTGTACAACCTTTGTTTGATTTGTTGTGTTTCTGGGTCTCTTTTAAGAAAATTTTGGCCTGAGCCAAGGAGGCCTAGGGTTTCTCCTGTTCCATCCTATAATGTTTTCAGAGTGTCTGCTTTGACTTTGAGGTCTTTGATCCATTTGGAGTTGATTCTGGTGCAGGGTGATATATAAGGATCCAATTTTAGTTTTCTACAAGTAGTTAACCAATTTTGCCAGCACCATTTACTGAAGAAGCTCCTACATCAACAAATTGGAGGGATCTGAAACCAACAATTTAATGAGACATCTGAACCTCCTTGAAAAAGAGCAGCAAGATAAACCCAGTAGAATCTCTCTTATACCAGTTCTTGTCTATATTTTTTCACTGTGGTTGGTACCTACTCCTCCAGTTCAGAAAGGAATGCATATGTCCCTTTAGTAAACTGACTCCCACCTTGTATTTGGATATTTTCTGTTTATTTCTCTGGTGAATCACTTCCTTTCCCTTTCATGACACGTTCTTGGTTCATCTATCTCATCCCATGATATTAGCACTGTAGAGCAATGTTTAGTTAATCTCTCTAACTTTCATCATACTCCCAATTTAGCCATTCCTTTATCAACAATGTATTCTAAGTTATTTTTACTTCCTTGCCTTATTCTTTTTTCACACCTCATTTGTGTTCCCATTATTGGGAGAAATATTTTTTAAGCTTGCATTCTTGAATGGATGTATGTGTTTTAGAATCATCAGTGAGAGCTTATCAATCCATCTCAATTTGGCTTGTACATTTTACTGATAATCATTTTAATATAATCACCACCTCTTTCCTTTTTCATGTTTAAGATGATATCCTCTCTATCAAAGATAGACTAGATTTAGATTTGGTGGCATATGCACACAGATAAGGGATATAGATATTATTGCTGTAGATTTATATTTGTATCAGGTATTTTTATATACATTTAATTTTTCCAAAAAAGATTTTCATTATTCAAGTTTGAAATTCACCCTGTCCCCTATTGAATAAATTCTAAAATTGTTGGTTTGTTAATATACCTTTTATAATGTTTTATTGTCTGTACCTGCAGATTTCCTCATCTTAAACTCTTGCCTTATAGTTTCTATGGAAGCAGCATCAAACTATGTGAGTCCTTACATACACATTGCTATTTTTTTTCTTGTTACACCTGATTTTGTACTTAATCCTTTGCTCTATAGAATTCTTGTTCCTTCTTCAATTCCAGCTTTAACTTTGAACTCCTGTTTATGCTTTAAAAGTATTTCTGTGTTACTTCTTCATGGTTAGCCTTATCTAACAAGGCAGTGCTTTTCAGTGCTCCTGTTTTCATAGTGCCCTAAGCAAATCTCTATTTCTGAGTGCCTTATGTTGCTCTGCAGTCAAGTATTAGAGTGTATATCAGATTGTCACCCTCCTCCAGATCTTCTGGCTTTCTCCCCTGTATCTTTCAAGTATAGTATGGAGTTAAATGAGAGGCAGTGATTGGAAAACACATGGCAAATCAATTGCTTTAGAACGGTAAAGCTAGATCTTTTTCTATGTCAGGCTAAACTACAATCTTCTCCATTTGCACAGCTTTTACACCACTGCTTATTAAATGTTTACTAAATATTCACATTTTTTGTTTAGTATTTTCAGCTAAAAAAAATCAATGTCTAGGTGTTTGTATCAGGTCTTGGTCTTGAACTCAGGGCCTTGCCATTGTCCCTGAACTTTATGTGCTCAAGGCTATCATTTTACACTTGAGCAAATTTTGTTTCTGGCTTTTTGGTGGTTAATTAGAGATAAGATTCTCACTGACTTTCTTTCCTGGCCTGGCTTTTAAACCATGATCCTCAGATCTCAGCCTCCTCAGTAGCTCAGATTATAGGCATGAACCACTAGCACCCATCTGAGTATCTGGTTTTTATGATGAAATTTTAGCTTTAGGAAGATAATAATTATATTTCCTTCTGTTTCAGGAAAGCTGCCATCTCAGGAACCTCTAAGTTCTGAAAGTACATTGACTTTGATGGATGATTCTGGGTGTGATTTATCAAATGAACAAAGAACTGAACCTTTGGAGCCATCCTTGGATTCTACAGAGAGTTGTATATCTCTGCCCTTTCTACCATTGCCTCTTGTGAAAAAGCCTCATAGTACTCCAGAAAATCCTCTCTCTTCTCACATGCAGTTCTTGCAACATCTGCTTGAACTGAAGAAATTCATGGAATCGGGTACCCTGAAAACAGACTTAACTCATCTTGAAAAAGACTCTTCCACCATCTCTGATTCTGTTTTGCAGTTGCTAGATGGTTTGATCACTTTTTACCATAATCCCAGACTTCCTTTTTCAAACTTTTGGACAGAAGCTGTTGGTACTCTGGCTCAACTGGCAAGTGATTGCAATTTGTCTAATCTTATACTTAAAAAGTGTTATAAGAAGTTGGAAGAATTCAAGAAAACCCTACTACAGGCTATTTTAGAGACCAGCAATATAAATCGGGTAAGTAATACCAGCTTATGTATTCATGCTTTCTCAGTAATTTAATGAACATTTCCTTTTAGACATTAGTCTATTGTTGTTCTTTAGCCTTGTGGCTCAGAGTCAGGCCATGTTCTGTATCTGTTTGTAGTTCTCCACCTCTGACCTCTCATTACTGGTTAGAGTATACAGTTTTTTCCATGATACCTTTGCTCCAGGCATAATGCTTCCATATGTGTAACTAATTTTCCTCTTTGTTTTTTTAACCAGCATCTTCAAGATCTTCTTTTGTTTACCTTTACTTTTATTTTCTGTTACTAAATCATCTCAGTTTGTCTCAGAATATCTAACAATTCAGGTTTTTTTAACTATAATGTTTTGACTGTCAACATCTCGTGATGTTTACTTGTACTGTATTGAATTTGATTAGTAAGTCCCTAAAGGTCAAATAATATGAGTATCTGCATTTGACCTTTCCTTCAAGTGCTAGGCAGTTTTCCATTGCTTTGACAAAATAACTGAGGCAATCAACTCAAAACTTAAATGATTTCAGAGGTTTCAGCATATGGTCCTTTGATGACCTTGCCTTTGGGAGTATGGCAAAGGAAAGCCTAGGCAGAAATACGTGGCAGGGCAAAAAGCTGTTTCTCTCAAGAAGTCTGCAGCACAAATTAGAGAAGCAATGTAGCTTCCCCATATCCCTTTCAAGAGTATGCTCCCAGTGACACAGCTTCCATCCACAAGGTCCTCTTTTCTAGAGATTCCATTATCTCTCCATAGGCCACAGGATGGCAATGAAGTATTTAGCATATGAGCCTTTGAGAGCCTTTGAGAGCATTCCAGATGTAAGCTATAATACTTTCTAAGTAGCACAATGCTTCATGAACATGGTTAATAAAACATAATAGAATATAGTGTCTGAGGAACACATACTGTAAGGCATTTTTTTTGGTTGGGCTTTTCCTTTTTTAACACAAATTTAGTTAACTCAGATTCTTTGTAAACAAGAGATATGGAGGGAATGTGAACTTGTTTTGTTATTTGATTTGAGACATAATGGAGTTTCTTTTACATATTACTTTCCATCTTTTTATTGTCAGATCCTTTATTTGGAAAACCAAAATTTCTTTCCATTTTAAACTTTTTTGATTTTTTAAATTGTATTTTACTGTAAAAACACCATGGGGGGGGTTACAATTACATGAATAAGGTAATGAGTACATTTCTTGTCACATTGTTGCCCCCTCCTTTGTTTTTCTCCTACTATTCCTTACCTCTTCCACCCCACCCCCTCCACCCCCCAGCCCCCACCAGAAGTTGTAAACTTATTTCCAACATAGTGTCTTGTATCATTTTTACAATGGGTCATTCTATGTCCTTGTTTCAGCGTTTTGTTAGTCCCCTTCCCCTCCCAAAATTAGATAAATATATATATATATATATAAGATGCAGGGTACCAAAATGGACAGAGGATATACCATAGGGGGAAGAACATACAAAAGAAACAAAAAATTTACATAGTAAATTACAAACAACAATGACAAAGAAAACCTCTTGTTTCCACATCTTGAGGTTCATTTCGTTTAGCATCATATTATATGGTTATATGGACATAGCTTTTGAGCTTTTCTGCTCATCTAGTAAGATTATCTTAGACAAATACTAATTATTGCAAATAAGGGAAATCATGGGAGCTATATTTCTTTGGATTTGGCTTAATATGATTTTCCATTTTAATATTTTTAATTTACTTCCAAGTCCACAGAGTAGCTTATGAGGTCTAACTTACTATTTATTCTATTGTGGGATAAAAGTTTTTGGGTTTTGTTTCTTTGGGCATTTTCTTATTGCTTCTCTGTAATATCATGATGTTATGCTCAGCTTTTATACTTAGAGATGGTTTGCATTTTCAGAACTCTGATAAAATTTGAGCTGATGGAGTAATGATTGAATATATATATGTATGTATATGTATATATATGTGTGTGTGTGTATATATATATATATATATAGATATATATATATATATATGTTCTTTCTGTCTCTATTAAGGTATGATTGAATTAATACCTTAGAAAAAGTGTTAATTATGCTCTTGACATTTGAAAAGATATATCATTTTCTGCCCAGGAATCTAAAATCTTTTTCTGTTGGACATAGTCAATCAGGAATTCAATATCAGATTTTCTGTCATTGTATTTCAGCTTATGTCTAATTTTTTTTCTGTTGCTGTAACAATACTTCAGAGAAAGGAATTTATAAAGAAAAAAGTTTTTTTTTTGTTATTTTTTTTTTTGTCGGTCGTGGGGCTTGAACTCTGGGCCTGGGCGCTGTCCCTCAGCTCTTCAGCTCAAGGTGAGCGCTCTACCACTTGAGCTACAGCGCCACTTCCGGTTTTCTGGTGGTTTATTGGAGATAGGAGTCTCATGGTCTTTCCTGCCCGGGCTGGCTTTGAACCGCGATCCTCAGATCTCAGCCTCCTGAGTAGCTAGGATTAAGGCGTGAGCCACCAGTGCCCGGCTAAGAAAAAGGTTTATCTAGCTCTAAATTGTAGAGAATGATAGATACAACATGGATCTGTTTTACCTCTGGCAAAGCCCTTCCCACTGTATGAACATGATATAGAGCATCACCTGGAGAAAGCTGTTGGCTCTGATCTCTCTTCCTTTTCTCATTAGGCATTATTGCCATTATAAGGTCCTTTCCCTCATGCCTTCATCTAACATAGGAATATGGGGATTAGGCTTTCACTTTTTTTTTGGTCAGTTGTGGAGCCTGAACTCTGGGCCTGGGCACTGTCCCTCAGCTCTTTAGCTCAAGGCTAGCACTCTACCACTTGAGCCACAGTGCCACTTCCAGCTTTTTCTGCTTATGTGGTACTGAGGAATTAAACCCAGGGCCGTAGGCATGCAAGGCAAGCACACTACCACCAAGCTACCTTCCCAGCCCAGGGAGGATTAGGCTTTCAACACATAAACTTTTGAGAAACACATTCAAACCCGGCAAATATACAACCTGGCTCTTAACTATCACAGTGGAAATCAAATAACTAATATGACTCAATTCTTTTGGTATATTTTTCATTTTCTCTTTTAAAATTACATTAAACATTATTGACATTTTTATGTCTTACTAGAGTCTCCAGCTGATTAATGTTTCTTTTAGTCTAATCATTCCCTCATATAAGGTTTGGAGCATGGTATGATTTATGCTCACTCAAAAGTATTCTTGAGAATTGTGTGGACATAAGAGAAGAGCAAGCTTGTAAAAGAATTTCATATGATGATACAGATGGTTCAGAAGTGATTATTTGTGATATTGTTTGCTGTTGTGACAACCATTACTGAATAGTTGGTCAACATAGAAGAAGTGAATCAATAGCTTTATGGAAGTGGTAATTACTGCATTCAGAAACGCATAATTATAATATTATTCACTACATTTGTATAATGGATATTAATTTATAAATACATTTTAATGACATTCTCTTGTTTCTTTCCCCTCCAAAGAAAAAGCATCATATTGTTGTAATTTTATAACTATCATCATTATTCACATTATTATTGTCCAGATACGTTCATAAATGTTGATTCATTATTGAAAAATTGGCACTTATTCTTTACAAATACTTTCCTGTCTCTTTAGCTTATCTTTGATAAAAGCATGTCCTTACAAAAGAATATATTCTGACATGAAATACATTATAACTGTTATTGGGACTATACTTGATAGAACAAAACAAAGTATTACCATTTGGAAAAAAAGATTACTTCTAAGAATCTTATTTTCATAGATTGAAAGGGCTTAATCAAATTGTATGGCTTAAAAACTTGAGTCCTGCTCTTGATTTCATTGAAGTGAATTTATATATGATCAATATGGTAGGAAAATATGTGGTATGAACACTTAAATATTCTGACAGAGGGATTTCTCATATTTATTATTCATGTAAAAACACTAAATAGAATAAGTCTTCAAGAACACGTTCTCAATAAGTTCGATAGTAAACTTATTCTGATTATAACTTCATTTTTAAAAAATTATCAGTAGAAACATAATAAGTTTCAGAAACTGTATCAGATGTTACGACTATGTGTATTGCAAGTATTGGCTATTGAAATGAGGTGCCCTGGGAATTCTTTAATATTTGTTTAATTAAAATTATTTATTAATATAGATGGGAAAATATATGATTTATACTTTTATAAGTTTTGGTAAATATTTTTGCTATTTTAGGAACATTATATTTACAGAAAAATAATTTTACATTGTTGGTGAATCTTACATTTGTTTTATATTTTCAATAAAACCATTAGTGTGGGACTAGAAGAATTAATCTACAATGAAGTGTTTTAAAAATTAATGTCTTGAATCCATATACCTAACAGGAATCAGCACAAGGCTACTTCTAGTGCTCTGGGAAACCATCTTAACTTGGGGGGTGGAGTGCTCTTGTGTTCACAGACCCCAGTATGTCCTGTTTACTGCCAGCTTGTGTTATTTAGGTAATATCTGACTGATATCCTGAAGGTTCATATATATATATTTTTCCCTCACAATTCTTGCATTTTCAAACTTCAAACTATGTTTCCTTCCATGACTGGAATCCACTAATTGTAGAATAGGCCACCATAGGATATCAAGTTCAACACCAAAATGGTTGAGATTATACTTAGATTTTTCAAGAGTAGTTTTGCTTCAAAATGTTTGTTTTTAAGAGGTTTCAATGATAATATGTATTAAGGTACATATCAAAATCTTTATCATTGAGATTTTAAACATTTAGTAGCTAAGTCTTAGATATATAATAGTGAATTATTAGAAAACTTCCTCCTCCGATTTTTTTTATCCTTTTAGCCATAAAACAGTTCTTAGACATATTAATTGCAAAATAGCATTATAATAAATTACTTCAATGTAGACAAAAATTAAAGTATTTTGTTTGTATGGAGTCAGAATAAAGATCCCTTCAAACATTTTCACATTCAAATTCCTGAAACCTGTGAATATGTAATATGTTA